CTAAGCCCTGAACCCGCAACCTTAACTGCCAACCCTGCAATAACACCACTCCGAAGGCTAAACCGTAGACTTCTATACTCAACCTGTAATGGGAGTTATTAGGGAATCAGGGAACATATTACATAAGGGAAACATATTCCCTGATTCCCTACCCTTATTAAGAAAACTGCACTTGTAGCCTTACTCATCACACTCCTGAACGGCGTTATGTAAGCTACTCCAAGTCGACGCTGGGCTTTAAACCCCAGTTAGAAGTAGTTGGTGCTCCTCGGAAACCTAAGAGTAACAAGCTAGACCGCAGTTGTAATCCAAAAGCCGCAGCATTTTTCTTTATCGTTCCTTCGGAAGCCTTATGTAGCCATAGCATCAGGCACTCCAGAACTCTAGTTAGATCTTACATTCAGCATCAGCATTGACTCAACCCCTTAGCTCTGGTATCACGCAACCCATAGGCCCGTAAATCCAATCCGGGGGAGGACATTGCTTTCTCCATACAAACTCTACATAGCCCCGAAGAATCCTATAAACCCCTGTTCATAGCCTTTATAGCCTTAAACCCTAAACTGTATAACTTTCATAACCCCTAAGCCTAAACCCTAAGCCCTAAAGGGGCCCTACATATGTGGAGCCTACATTTACCACCCCAGACCCCCAGGTTTGGGGACAACTTTGGTCTCGACGCCTTCATTACCGGGTCTGAGGCACGGATCCCTCCAACCCCAAACCCTAAGCCCCAAGCCTTCAATCCTAAACACTAATCCTGAAACCCTAAACCCTAAGCCCTAAACCCTGACTACTTATCCCCAAGCCCTAAAGCCTAAGCCCTCAACCCTTAACCCAAAATCCTACACCCTAGACCCCAAGCCCTAGACTGCGATGGGCTTGTTGGCAGCTTGGGCGGTTGGGGGTTAAGTTAAGTTTAAGTTTAGGATTTACGGTTTAGGCTTTAAGCTTTGGCTGTTTGACTTAGTCTACCGTTTTGGGGTTCAAGTGTAAGTGAGGCTTACGTTAGGCTTTAGGGTTTAGGGGTTAGATTTGAAGCTTTGGGCGTAGGGGTTGAGTTAATAGTGTGCTGATTGCAATTTCAAGTTTGCTCAGCTGGAGTGCAGAGCGGAAATCCAGTTCGCTAAAACCTCAACCCCGAACCCGTAAAGCCCCAACCGTCAATCCAAAACCCTCAACCCTAATTAAACCCCCCGCCCTAAACCCTAAACCCTATACGTTCAATATCCGAACTCATCACCCTAGACCCTAAACTCTCCAAACATCTGAACCCAAAACACTAAACCTTAAACTTAAAACCCAAAACCCTAAACCCCTAAACCCTGATCCCTAAACATCTGAACAAGGCCCGTGCCTTCGCACGGTCGCTGAGTGCTTCGCCTTGGCTTTTTCCTGCAGGCAAGGCTGGACTTAGTGGGTTTGGGGGGGGGGGTCCATTTAAAGGGGAACATAGGGATACTGTATCAACATCTATACCTATGTATAGCTTATATATAGTATGTATCCGCGGGTTGTATAGGGATTAATGTGTGGGGTATATGGCGGTATTTAGGGATATGTGGGTTTGGGGTTTGGGTGGGGTTTAGGTTTTTGCTGCGTTTTAACTGGGAGGGTTATACCGCTAACAGTTTGGGTTTGCAGTTTAATCCTAAAGCCAGCACACGAAACTTCGGGCATGCTGCGCCGGCCTGTTTCTTCTAGACCTTCGATCCTAGACCCTAAGCCCTAAACCCTACCTAAACCCCCAAGGTATGTAGAAAAATGGCCTTTTGGCTATTTTTAGGGGTTCAGGGCTATTATTTTACATACTTTTGGGGTCCAGGTACATCCTATACCCCAAACCCTGAACCCTACACCCTGAACCCTAAACCCTACACCCTGAACCCTCGACAGGTGAGATGGCAAAGCAGCCCATGTTCCACCTGCGCAAAGGACTGGTTCGGGGTTTTTGGCAGGCTTGGGTTAGGGTTTAGGGTTGAGAATTTAGGATTGAGGATTGAAGGTTTAGAGTTTAGGGCTTAGGGTTTTGGGCTATAAGGGTTTAGGGTTTAGGTTTCGGGGTGACGGAAAGGCCGAGGGTGCGAATGAAAGACAGTGTTATTCGGAAAGAGAGTTGCTGGTCAGATCATGCCCAAACTCCCCAAACTCCCTGCGTCAGTTCTCTTCCCCCCTAGGCACTCCCTTTACTGGGTTGCTGTTAAGGAACTTAATTTAAGTTACTATCATAGGGAAGTCTTATGATTTAACTTCATACCCATCTCGTGGTAACTTAATCTAAGTTCATTAGCAGCAACCCAGGTTACAGCCCGCGCTCCTGCTGTATGTGCTCAACTACAGCCCACACAAGCTCATATTACAGAATCCGGATTGCGAATTAATCCCAGAACTACTTGCAGCCCCTTCCTCAATCCAGACCCGAAAGCTTTAATCAACCTCAAGCCCTGAAGGTTATTTACGGTTTCGGGTTCAGGGTTATTAAGGGTTCAGGGTCTAGGGTATTCCCCTGCAAGCCGCGCCAGGCGGTGCACTGGAAGTCTGCTCCATAACTGCCACGGTTCCCAACTCGGGCATCGTGTCGGCAGAGAACAAGGCACGAACTATCTCATCCTTGAGGGTAGGGTTTGGGGTTTAGGCATTTAGGCATTTAGGGCTTAGGGTTTCGGGTTTTGGGTCAGAGATTTAGGGCCTAGAGTTCAGGGTTTAATCAGGACTGGTAATGGAATGATCACTACACTCGCTAGACGCCAGACTTTAGGGTTTCGGGACTACGCCCTACTACCATTCTTTCACTAAGTGGTTAGGCATTTGAGGTTACAGCTGAGCCCTAAACCCTAAACCCCTAAATCCTTGAACCCCGAAATCCATAAACCCTTAAACCCTTAAACCCTTAAACCCTAAACCCTTAAACCCTTAACCCTTAAACCCTTAACCCTTAAACCCTTGAAGAACACCTAAACCCTCAAACCCTTAAACACCTAAACCCTGAAACCCTAAACTCACACCCACCTCAATTCTAACTCTCGGCCCTGAACTGCTTGGTATTAAGGGTTTCGAGCCAAGGGCTGAGGGTTTAAGGTCCTTGTTGGTGGTTTAGGGGTTCAGGTTTAGGGGTTTAGGGTTTAGGGTTTAGGGGTTTAGGGGTTTAGAGTTCAGGGTTCAGGTTTTAGATCCTGTCCGGTGGTTCCTTTTCCAAACCTGCCTATGGTTAGCAGGGAATGAAGGAAGGGCAAAGAGAATGAGACCGACTCCATTCTTAGGGATCATGTAGGGACTCTTATTACGAATCATGTAGGGACTCTTATTACGAAGATCCACTCAGGATAGAGGGGTTTGGGCCTCTGCGACGCAGGATTTGTGGGTTCTGGATGCAGAAACCCCATGCACGAAACCCAAAGCCTTTTTATTTTTTGAGATGCCGATAAAACGATAGTAGACCGCAGATCCGAAGCAGTAGACCCACGACCCCGCATAGTACCCTTGAAGCTGCATGGAAGACTTTCTCAAGACTCTAGATCCTGCATGCCAAGCACTGAAACCTTAAATCCCCAATCCGTGAGCTCTAAGGGCTAGACCCTATACCTTTCAATTCGTAAATGCCTAGGACCTCAAATCCTTTGCGCTAAGCCCAAAACCATCAAACCTTTCAAGCCCTAAATCCTTAAGTACAGAAACCAACAAAACCTTCTACTACACCCCTTACACCCCATAACCGTATACATGCCCTATATGTCCCCCTAAAGGTTCCTCCAATCCTACAGTAACCTTAGATGAACCCTCAACCCCAAACCCCATAACTTTCCAGCGAGTCTTCTAGAACCCTGAAGACGGACAGGTCATGGTGAGCTTCGAGGTGAGTTGGGGCGATGGCACGAAGCTGGGCTCAAGGTTTAGGGTTGTTTACGGTTCCCCAAGACCCAAGCCCTAAACCCCAAGCTAATTTAGATATTTGGGTCATTTTGGGTCTAGGGTTTCAGGGTTGCTGGCTTTGAGGTGGGTTCTTGGGCTTAGGATTTGGAATTCAGGGTTTGGGTTTTGGTGGTTTGAGATCAAGTCCTTTTTGGGGACCCGAATCTAAAATCTTGCTGAGGTATGTAACGGGTGGTGCTTTTAGACAAGCTGCTTCGTAATCAGTTGGTGTTGAAGGTGGGCCTATTGGCTTTCGAGCTCGAAGGCACAGATAGGATTAGCTTGGCTTACCACCTAAACCCCACATTCTTAACCCTAAAGCTTAAACCCCTGAACCCTAAACCCTAACCCTAAACCCTGAACCCTGCAGCGTACTTGGGGAATCCACGCTCTCCCTGCTTCTCGGATACTGGCTACCCAGAACCTGCAAGCAGGGATGAGGATTTAGGTGTGCTGTGCTGAGGAGCGAAGTCATGAGCTTGGGTTTAGGGTTTAGGGGTTTAGGGTTTAGGGGTTCAGAGCTTTGGGGTTGAGTGTTTAGGGTTTAGGGTTTTGAGGGGGTTTTCCGAATCACAGTCCCTTTTGTGGCAACCTAAGTTTTCAAGGCTAGATTTTACAGGTACCCTAAAATGGGAACCATTTTCAATCCTAGTTCCTAAACCCATACCATATAACCCCTGATTAAAGTTTAGGGAAGTTCAGGGTTCAGGGATCTTGTTGGTGTGGGTATAACTAGTAGGATGGGGCAATTTTAGCCCGGGCGCTTTCGAGGCCTGGCCAACGTCGCACTGCTAGGGTCTAGGTTGGGTACTGCCCCCCCCAGTAACAGTTGGATAATAATTACAATATGGTTATATATAGCCCTTAATGGGACCTCTAATATAAACTGTTACTGGGTGGGGGCAGTACCCAAGGTCTAGGGTTTATGGTTCCCGAACTCCACAAGCTAAACCCCAAACCCCAAGCCCTAAGCTAATCTGACCTCTAAACTGTAAGCCCTCAACTCTGGACCCTTAACCCCAAACCTTAAATCCCAAACCCTAAGCCCTAAATCCTAAACCATACCATCCTAAACCCGAAGCCCTACCATCCCACACTGTACACCTCCACGGCAGGCGTAGTACCATCCTGAACCATCCCACAACCCCCGCAGGGCTTAGGGTTTAGGGCTTAGGGCTTCACCCCCGAATTCAGGAGTGGTGCTGGCAACCTAACCACCAAAAGCGCCAGCACCTTTGACGGCAGCAAAGCTACCTTCGATGAGAAGGACAACTTCTTACAGTTTGGAGGCCTGGTAACGCCCAGTTGAGCTATACAAATATATAGGGGAGTATAATAGGGGTTCCTAAGGGGGATACATAGAGCTTATTATAGGGGTTTAGGACAACTTCTTACAGTTTGGAGGCTTGGTAGCACCCAAGGGTATATGGTGACACAGGGATATTAACCCCAATAATTAATGGACAATCAAATGGAAAAGAACATGGAACATGAAATGGCACCTGGGTTTAGAGTTACAGGGGCTGAGGATGCTAGCCGACAACTTCTTGCCGTTTGGAGGCGTGGTAAGCTTATTCTAGGGGTTTGGAGTAATGGGAGTGGTAACACACAGTTATCAAGCTGATTGTTTAGGGGTTTTGAGTTATACGGCTTCTGGATGCTAGCCGGCAACTTCCCTGGAACAACCCCTAAGCTGTTAATTGCCAACCTTGTGTCTACTGGGCAGGCCCAACCCAGCTGCCGGCGTCGGCAACCATCCGGGCCATTCTGAAGGAGAAGGAGCTGAGAGAGTGTTCCGAGAGAGGGTGTTTCTTGGGGGCTGAAATAGGGGCTTGGGGATGTTCGAGGGTTTGAACCCTAAACCCTAAATCCTAAATCATGGGTGTTTTGTAAGATGGATGTTTCAATTCAAAAGGCTCTAGCAAGGATTTTCGCTTGTAGTTTGCTATTGGGGTTTTGGAGTTAGAGCCTTGAAGTGTAGGAAGCTCTGGATTTTTGGGTTTTGCTCTATATGGGGGTTTCGCAAAATTACGGGTACCAATTGGGGGGTCCCTATAACAAGGACTATAGTATTTGGGGGTCTATATTGGGGTCCCATCATTTTGGGAAACTACCATATAACCTATTTTACCCTGCGTAGAGACGAACATAGAACTCCGCAGAGGCCCCTTCTTCAAGGAATCCCTTTATATAGGGGTTATATAGGGACAATGGAAAAGAACATGGAAACTTTAAAATAGGGTTTTGAGGGGCTATATTTGAGTGGCTTCTTCTTCTTTTTACGGTTCCACATTTGTCGAGGGGAGTGCAGAACCTCCGCTTTGGTCCTTCTTTCCGCGCTGCTGGAGAAGTTGCAAAGAAATTCTTCTCAGGGGTCTGGGTTTAGGGTTTAGTGTTTAGGGTCTAAATCCGGAACCCAAAGCCCCATACCTTAAACCACACACCCTAATTGAAAAACCCGAGCCCTCCCCTCCTTCAAAACCCTAAACTCAAAGCATGCAAACGGCAGGGCTACCACGATACCTCCACTGACATGCTGTCGCGGTACCTCGGTTTTCTGATTGGTGCCCAGAGCAGGGAGTGGTTGAAAAGAAGATAGAACCTACTGTAGGGTTCAGAGGTTCGGGAGTATAGTCCCCCTTAAGTAGATAGAATATGGCCTTGGGTATATTACAAAATGATCCCCATATACCCCATATTCTATGTACTTACAGGGGATTGTGAGGTTTAGGGTCGAGATGTTAGGTTTTAAGGTTAAGGGTTTAGGAATGAAGGTTTAGGGTGGAGGGTTTAGGATGCTTGCTAGGGGAACCCTCCAGATGTTCGAGCGCAACGCTAAACCCTAAACCCCAAACTCTCAACCCTCCAACTCCCAAATTTCCAAACCCTTGACTCCTACATCTTGGAACTCTCCAGACGTCCAAAAACTCAAACGTCGAACCCGCAACGTCGAGCTGGAAAGCCTAACCTGAGGCCTATAAGTACCCCCCAATTCGGTTCAGGGCCCTGAGCCCTAAACCCTGTGGGTCGCGCAAGCTATAACTTCTATAGCCACACCGAACCTTAAGTCTTAAGCCATGAGCCCAAAACCTGAAGCCTAGATATTAACCTTGCATCTTAGACCCTGAGCCCTAAATCCTAAATCCCAAATCCTAAACCCTAAGCCTTAAATCCTAGACCCTAAGCCACCCTAAACCCACGAGCCCCCCCCAAGTCCGAGGTTTGGTCAGGCTGTGAAAGCCGGTGTGATGTACCTCAGCCTGATAAAGGTTTAAGGGTTCTGGGGCTACAGCGTTAAGGGTTTCAGTGTAGGGGTCTGGAGGCTCTAGGGTCAAGGGATTTGGGGTTTAGCGTAAGGGTCAAGGGTCTAGAGGTTCTCGGGTTGCGTGATTCAGCTTCTAGGGCTTTGGAGCATGTCGTGGTAGTTTCAGTGTCGAGTTCCACTGCTTGTGTTCGAGGTTTGCTGTACAGCATCTCGCGTCTAGCATGTAGAGCAATCAAGTCTACTGTTGGAGTTCAAGGTGCCGCGGGCTCTATACACCCTTAGCCCCTATTCTCAACCCCAAGCCCCGAAACCTTTAATCCCTCCAAGACCATAGATTGCCAACTCTTCTCCCCTCCAAATCCTAAACCCCTTCCTCCGCCCTGCCCCCCTTTTAAATCCCCCCCACACTTCCTCCGAAGGCTCGTGGAGGAAGCCGCAGCGGGGCGCCGGGGCCTTGGCGTGCCGCGGGCGCAGACGGAAGCGAAGAGCCTTGCAGAGGCTGGCCGCTTCATCTGAGGGTTTTGGGGGAGTTTAGGATTTGGGGTGTGGGGTGGGGTTGAGGTTTTCAGTTTGGGGTTTAGGCTGCTTTAGAGTTTGGGGTTTAGGGTCTAGGTTTTAGGAATTGAGGTTTGGGATTAGGGCTCAGAGTATAGGGTTTCAATCTCAGGGGTTGGGCAGTAGGTTCGCTTCCCCGGTTTCCCGGACCCCTCAGCTCAGGAGTCTCAGGAGTATGAAAAGAGAGTAGTGAGTAGTGGTAGATGTAATGCGAATCTGAGGTTGTTTCACTTTAAGACGCCAATTACAACAGTGCTCCTGCAGGACTTCCAAAAGATCCTTGTCAGGTTTGGATAGAATTGGGTATAGTGTCGGGCGTGGTCTAGAATACTTGTAGTTCAGAGTATGTCAACCTTCACATAAGCAAGTCTCCCTTCCAGTTGTGGCAGGTGCTACAAGGGCCCGCAGATGCGCAGGGATTCGTTCAGGCGCCAGCTCAGCAATCCCTCACCCCTAAATCTGAAAAAAGAGTTCTGTTTCAACCCGTTTTGCGGAGGAAGCTGCATTTTGATCAGTTGCAGGCTGCCAGGGTATGTTCGGAGATTCTGGTTGCGTGGTTGTAGATGAGGAATGGTTTAAAGTGTGAGAGTAGCGATTGAGGGTTCAGGGTCCAGGTGAGTACGTTGTAGCCCTAGAACATGGATAGAACGATGTGCTGGTCGTCACACGGGGAGGGGGGGAGTGGATCCCCGTAAGACTGCCTGTAAATTTTCGATAATCTTGCGTATACTGATTCCCCCACTCCCTAAAGCACCGGCAAGTTTATGCTGAAGGGGTGTAGCCATTGGATCCCTGAGGCCCTACTCTCCTGTAATCCCACCCCCCAAATACAACCTCGACACTCAACCTGGAATCCTGACTCTAACCCCTAGTATTCCTAAATCTAAGCCCAAAGATTCCCGAATTCTAACCCCCCTAAACCCTAACTAAAGCCCCGAACCCCCAACCTCTGGCAGATCCGGTCGGTCAGGTGCGGCTGCAGGTAGCAAAGGAGTCTGGACCACTGTCCGTCTTCGGCTATGGGGCCTCCAAGATCCCGGGCATGAAGTAGGAATCGTACTTTCAGGAACAAAACGGAAATTGCCATATTCTATAGGGATTGGGGTTTGGGTTTAAGATTTAGGGTTCGAGGATTGATTCCCCATGTCCTGGTAGCCACCAGCCGTTTTCTTGAAGGAGTCCAAAAGTTTACTGTCCAGAGCATTGGGTTTAGGTGTTCCAGTTTGCGGTTTAGGGTGGTGTTTAGGCTTAGTGTCTGGAGCAAGTATGGCGCGTTGAACCCAGCCGATTTTTCAGAGTCGACCTGGACCCTGGGTGTCCTTCCTT